CTGACAGATAAAGTGGAGTACGACCAGAAGTATCAGTAATATCAGGATTACAGTAACCACCATCAATGAAAAACCTCAATATATCCAAAGACCCTTCCTTTGCTGATATGTGTATTATGTTAAACCCTTTATCGTCCAGTATAGAAATGTTGCAGTTTTTACTGTTGAGGTAACGAATGATGGGAAGGTTCTTAGAGAAAGCTGCAATAAGTAGTGGAGTGCGTCCAAAAGAGTCGGTCATATCAAGAGATAATGGTGAATGGTCTATAATGTACTTGACTATATTCAATGATCCTTCTTCACAGGCTACATGAACTGGAGCCATTCCATTGTAATCTTTAATAGTGAGATCCAACTGATGTTCCTCCACTAGATGCTTGAGTATAGGAAGAGAACGACTTTTACATGATAAATGAAGAACTGTTGATCCATTTGAAGTTTTAGCTGATACGTCACACTGAGGAAGACTAGTGAGGTAGAGAACTAGAGCAACATGTCCTTCCTGACATGCTATGTGAAGGAGTGTAGATTTTGTATCATTTGTAGGATCAGTGGCATTAATATCAAATGAATAATTGTTTAATAAATGCTTTAAACAATTCAAATTGTTACATAGTGCAGCATGAAAAGGTAATACACCCTTCTTAAATGAGACTACATTGATATGATACTCTTGTCTGAGCCATTCTAGTATATGAACATGTCCAGATAACACTGCCATTTCTGGTGATGACGGTATGCTGAATATTTTACGATTAAGGTTGTATTGTTCTATTAATAATTTTAAAAGATCAAGATTACCAGAGGAACATGCCCATGTGACACAAGTGGAGCCATCCTTATTTTCAGTAGTGACATCACATTTCATTACATCAATTAGAAATGTCACTAGTTGTGTTGCACCACTCTCACAGGCAGTATGAATTGGTAGAGTATCATTAACATTAGTAGAATGTAATAGACTAGTGTATTGTGGATAATTTTTGATAATATATTTAATAAATGAAAATTGACCATTCAATGTAGAATAATGACACACATTCATGTTTCTTGCTTCATCTACTTCATCCAAATCACATCCACAATCTTTCACTAAATACTCTAAGACATCAATAGCACCAACTTCAGCTGCATAATGAACTGCTTGAATACCGTTACCAGCTTTAACTTGAGGATCTAGTTTATATTCATTAACTAATAATTTAATTAATGATAGTTTAGTACTACGTACTGCTTGAATTAACACAGATGATGTGAGAGGCAATTGATGATTATTATTAATGAGGTATTGGACTAGCTTCATGTTACCACCCCTAGCACTATGGTCTAATGCATTCAATTCATTGTTATCTGTTATGTTAATATCACTGTCTTGTACTTCAATGAGGTATTGACTGAGATCAACATTAACACAACGACATGAATAATGAAGAGGTGTTTTACCCTCAGTACAGGTTATATTAATATCAATGTCAGTAGTATTCATAATACATTCCACTGCATTGATACTACCTGACATACAAGCTAATGCTAATGGTACTACACCTTTGTAGTCTGGTTGACTGGCATTCAACCTATACTCAGATACAGTATAACTGAGTAGAGTAGGTGAACCTGATAAAGCAGCATAATGTACTGCAGACCGACCCTCATAATCTAATGAACTTGTATTAATACTATACTCCTCTAATACCTTCACTAATAATATACTACCACTAGTACATGCTAAATGAACCAATGATTGACCAGTAGCAGTAATAGAATTTATATTAAAATTATTAATAATGCTTGTCTTCTTGAGGAGTGTGGACAAAAGGCTCACTCTTTTATGCTGTTTAGTAACATTTATATTTAGTGATATGGATTTACGTCTGTCATCTTTGTCATGTACATTAAATGTAGGAATTTGTAAAAGTAAAGGTATATCACAAGGTGCATTGAGCTTATTATACACTTCTGTGATGCAGTATTTATCAACCAATCCACTGCATAAGTAATGAAGAGAAGAGCGATCACTATAATCAGCTTCTAGTAATACTTTATATCCAAAAATATTAACCATTTTCATAATGAAACCTGATGAAGCATACTGACATGCTATATGGAGTGGTGTTGCACCAAAACGATCTCTTTTTTGAAATAGTTCACTTTTATAATTATTATAAAGATACACTAGGAGCTCTACACTATCACTCATAGCACAATAATGTACTATTCGACATCCGTTAAAATCTGTGTCA